GGTCACCTAAAAGCCTCAGTGTGCCCCATGTATTTCAGACACAAGGTATTGACAGTTTTCCTCCCTTAAGAAAAAATCTATTTGGAAAACTTATAATGAATTCCTTTTAGGGATGGATTCTACTTTTGTAGGCACAATTTCCCTCACTAATTTTGACATGTGTCAACTTAAACCTCTCATAGTTTTCTGCTACCTTTGCCCACCCACATGCATCTCTAAGTATCAAGGAGCCAGTGAGTCTCTTGACATGAGTAGATGGTTAGTAGCCATAATGGCATGCAGGAATCAGGTAAGGAAGAACTGGGTCAAGGGGAAAGCAGATGGTTTCTGGTTTTAATAGATGGACAGTGCTGAAGTGGAGGGGCAGGGGACATGAACTTCAGTCTCTCTGGCTACTGCTCTAATCCACCCATCAGGGAAGTTCTTCATCTTCTTTCAAACAAATCCCACAAGTCTCCAAAGAGGTTTTATCAGTGAGCAAGAGGGTAAAGTTGTATGTCACTGGGTCATTGGCTGAGCATGATGTGAGGTTCTTTTGTTTGCTGGGAAGCTGGTTCTCCAACTAAGGACAGATTAGCCTCACCACTTAGCTTTTAACTCTGAACCAAATGAGTATCCTTCACTTTGCTAAAATACTTAGGTGAAGAATGGATTAAACCACAAGCTAGTTTCTGGAAAGAACACACATATGGCTGAACTGATGTAATCCTTAAAGGAGGAGAGCATCCTGGAGGTGGAATGGACTTGGACCCAGTGTGACCCAAGTATGCTCCTTTATATGAGAGGAAGAGAAACACCACAACTCGGTTGAACAATGTAGAGCATTTAGGGAGTTTGAGGCCAATCACAAATGCTGCCAAACAGCTGTCACTATGGAGGAACTGGCTGCTCTGCAGGCTGGGTGAAGAGCTGGGTGGCAACTGGCAATGGTGAGCTAATGCCAACAGACTCGATTTGTAGGTATGAATATTAGCCAAGTCTCCCTACATTGCCCAAGGAGGTTTCAGACTCCTGGGTTCAAGCAACCCTCTTGCCTCAGTCTTCCAAGTACAGATTACAGGTATATGCCACCAGGCTGTCTAGACTTTTTAATGCAGACTGTAATTCTGGTTCAATGTTTGACTAATCTGTGACTGTATGAGTCCCTTTTCCTCTCTGACCTTTATATTTTCCATTTCTAAAAGAGTGATATTGGCATGGGGGGATGGCACACTGGTAGAGTACATACCTAGTATGTGAGAGGACCTCGGTCCAATCCACAGGATGACCAAAAAAAAAAAAGTCCTAAAAACTCTGGCTCAGCTGAGACAACATATGTGGAACACACTTGGTTGATTCCAAAGTGCTCTAGAAATGCTAATTATTACATGTGACTTGATTACAACAGAAACCAAATGCTTTCTGGAATGCATTTGTAATTGTTTACAAAGCAGCCAAGAGGGAATTCCCTTAATGAAAAGTGTGTCAGAACAAACAGTCTGCTACTCCAGGGCAGGTGCGTTGTGTCATGAAATGAGTGATACAGGTACCTGCTGGGAACCAGCCCCTTCTTTCTGCTCCCGTCCACAGAGCACACCACCTCATCAACACCACCAAGCTGCCGACCTCCCAGTAGCACTGGAGAAGGAAGTCAGGGAGGCCAGATGAGCTAAGACTCTGGAATCAGACAGCCCAGGATTTCAAGTCCAGTATTATGTGACCATGTCTTGTACAGTCTAGCCATGCTCTCCAGACTCTTAAGAGCCTCTCTTCATTTCTAAATAGTAACAGCTATTACTTTAAATGACTTTTTTTTTTTTTTTTTTTTTTTTTTTTTTTTT